TGGGGTCGACTTGGCTGGTTCAGTCCGTCGGGTTAGTTTGGTTGTTGACCCTTGATGATGATAAGGGAGCCTCTAGATACCCCCAATATGATTAGAGATGCCAAGGAGCTAAATCTTCCCTCGAGTCGGCTTTTTCATGTCGATTGACTTAGATGTCTCTTTCTCTCATTTCTAACAGAACCACTCGGATTCAGGTCATTCGGTCATCTTTTGTGGCTCGATTGACTTCGGCTTTGGCTCCGATGGTCACATCTGGTCAAATAAGTTGGTCTCTCAGTCTTCCATTGTTGATCTCTTTTTAGCTCTTTTTAGTCGTTCTCTCATTTTCTAAACCGACAGATCACAAGATCAACACTTATACATTTTCCATGCACAATATAAAATTTAAGATTAATTAAAAATTTTTAATAATAGTTAAAAAAACATGTTAAAAAAAAAATTATTTGTTCTAATAAACTGTTTTACTCTTTCTTTTTTAGGAAACATCGTTTATTTATTTTGTAAATAGTTTGGTTGGAATACTTATTTAATAGTGATTTCCATAAAATTACATTTTCTTGATATTTCCAACTGATATTTCTCAGAGCTCTTGAATACATTTTTTTTTCTAGAACAATGTTTAAACAAACTTTTTATAAGGCAAAACACAAATCAATAAATTTTTATAGACAAGAGTTTTAAACTGCTTTCAATTTGAAAGCAGCCTTTTCATTTTTAAAATCCGTTTATTTTCTAAAAACAATTTTTTTATAGTTATTTGGGACCGTGGTTTCTATTTTGGTTTAACGTCTCTACACAACTTTTGTCTCATTTGCATTCTCTATCATAATTCTATCTGAGGAATTATTTATTTTTTATTTTATATAAATTTTTGTGATTAGTACTTCATCAACAAATTCTCATCGTCCGACTTGAATATTGAGCACGACACAGATCTCGTGATAATTTTTTTACCAAGAAACATTCAAATTTTATCAAAATTAATACAGAGCTTCGATTTCTATAAACTTACAGTCAAATTGACCAGCTCGATGAAACATACCCAATAGTATCAAAATTGGTCTAATATGAACCAAATCAAGCCCTGATTAAGCAATTAAACAAGCAATTCAACTTACTTTGGAAGCTTTATGAGAGTATTTGGAACGTAAAACCTGGTAAGCTTATAATCGAATCGAGCATCTTGGAAAGACGAATTCAACGAGCCCAATAATGTTCAATTTTAACATCGTTAAGACACTCAAATGTCCATTAAATGTTGTCTGATCGAAGGAGTCTCTCATGTTTATCCAATTAAAGTGGTTTAGATTTCTTCATTAATTACATTCGGGACTCTATAAATAGAGCACCACCCCCTCTTGAGAGAAGAGAGATGTGGAGCATGAAGTTTGAAGAAGACCGAAGCTTGGAGAAGAAGCTAAAGTCCCACATCACTTCTGCACAGACGATAAACCGTGCTTCGACAAACTCCAATTGTAATTCCAGTCTAGTCAACTTTGGCCTCCTCCTCCATATGACCAACTCATCCCGTCATTGCCTCCAGCCAACTTGAGTCATCGTCACCTTCAGCCAACTTTTACTATTGTCGCCTATAGCACCTTCATCCATCATCGCCTCTAACGACCGTCACTATCACCCTCCGTCAACCATCATCAGCTGAGTCGTACTCCTTAGGCAAAGTAACCTACAAAGCAACACCATCATCTTATACATCGTTAAGACCATGAAGATGGTGCATTGAAGCCTCAACTATTGCTCCACCTCGTGGTTGCTCCCTACCAAAGAGTTACATGTCCTTCCACGCACCGACATTGTAGCTCAAGAGACTACGTAACCCATTCCCGCTTGTGGAATAAAGAACTATATATATAATTATCAATTTATAGTGGATCTCTTCAACTGGGTTAGACCCTAATTTTTTTTTTCTCTTTTATGCTTTTTTGTATAAAAAATCTTATGGTATTTTTGCACATCATTTTCTTTACCTGAGTGTGTGTTGGGATTTAGTGCAACACTAAGACTTTAATTCACCACTTGACCATCGTGACTTCTCTTGCACACTTTAGTTTGGCATTGTTAATGAGAACAAACAACCCCACCACTAAAGAACTTTCGAGACTTTCTTCATGGCCACCAGACGCAACAATCAAAACAACATAGCATCCTGCTCCAACACCCATCATTCCATAGGGCAGTGATGTAACCAAAAGCGTCATGCCTCCGCATCTTCCCACCCTAGAAGGAGTTTCCTTGCTAGCAAAGGTGCCTAGGATCATTTTTTGAAAGAGCGAGTACGCAAGATGGAGGAGTCTCAACTGAAGATTCTATAGCTCTTCCGCGAGGCTCGACAATCGCTACCTAATGGAGCTTAATTGCCACAAATTCTATAGCAGCATGAAACATGTCGCTCTAAAATAATTGTACCAAACTCCTTCCAGCAAAAAAGCCTTTCCTTTGTCGAGTCGAGATGTTGACCTCTTGAATACTACAAGTTCTTCTCATATGTCCCACACAACTCCCTAGCACTGCCCTGCCTTGCCTCCATTCCTGACAATGTTATTAGTGATGAACTGCGATGCCTAATCTAAGAAAAGTTCCCTTTGAAGAATATGGATTACTTTCCTGCTCATCGTAATTTTCAAGAATCCTCACCTTTGGGGGAGGCAATTCTCCAACACTTCATCCCAGTGGGTTTCAAGCTCCTGAACGTCAAAATCTACAAAGGGGTAACTAGCCCCTACGTGTATGTTGACCACTACCAAACCATCTTGCACATTCAACATGCATCCATTGCACTCTATGTCAAGTATTCTCAACCACTCTCAAGGCTCATGCTCACACCTAGTTCTACTCTCTTCTGGTGGTCACTATCAACACTTTTAACGAGTTTGCCATACTATTCATGGAGCAGTTCATGACGAACTGGCGAATCATCAAGGATTCATTCCATCTCCCAGGAATTCACTACACTAAAATGAGGTTGAGCTGCTCAAGAACTGCTTACCCATGTTCTCTGCTGAAGCCCGTCAGATCTCAAGAACGAATCCAGAGTTGTTGAGGCGGGTCTTCATTTGGGGGCTCCGCCTAGGACCTTTATACTCGTCACTGATGTGAAAGGCAATCCACTATTTTACCAACCTTGTCCACCATGTCAAGGCCCAAATCACTTCACATGAGGCCGTTAACGCACACAAAGAGCTTTTCAAGCAATTCAGGAGAAATCGTAAAGATTATGAAGTAAGACACCAATCAATCCTCGTAGCGGAGAAAACTTAAAAAACAGAGGAAGCGTGACCTCTATCCCTGACATGCAAGCCAACGAAGTGAGCATCAACCCAAGATGGAGCCATCTTTGATGGACCCAATCATCTCCTTCCTCTGAGATGGAACAATACCCGATGATGCTATTGCGCCAGTTCACCTCTGACACATAGGTTTAGGGTTTAGGGTTCAGCTTGGTGAAAGAGCAGAAGCCCCGCATCAGTTCGCATCGATGATACGCAGCCCTCAGACCAACTTCGACAGTTGTCAGCCTTCAATCAACTCCGGTCTATGTCGCCCTCTGACAAACTCGGGCCATCGATGCCTCCGACCAACTTAGGTTGTCATCACCTCCAGCCAACTCTAGCCACCATCGCATCTGGCATCTTTGGCCGCCACTTTTGGCCACCATCAAATATCATTAGTTGGCGCTTACTCCTTGCTACAAAGTAACCTTTGAAACAACACCATCATCTGGGACGTCGTGCCGACCTTGAAGACGGTGCATTGAAGTCCCAACTATTGCTTCTTCTTGTAGCGGCTCCCTAACTCGAAGCTACAATTTCTCCCACACACTAACATTGTAACTCGGAAGATTATATAACCCTTTCCCGCTTGTGGGATAATGAACTAAATTTGTAATAATCAATTTATTGTGGATCTTTTCAACTGGGTCAGATTCGGTCATTTTATTTTCGTTCTGGATTTTTCACGTAAAAAATCTTCTAGTATTTTTACCAATCATTTATATTACCTGAATGTGTGTTGAGTTCTCATGCAACACAAAGAAGTTAATTAATCACTCTACCACCGCGAATTCTCTTACCCACATCATTGATGATAACCTTTTACAATCAAATCTCTAAAACAGTGCGGCTACATAAAAAAAACGTTGCTTGGTTTTATTGAAAAAAAAAAATTATAATTCTTACCTCAGTTTCTAAAGATTGTTTTCCAAGCCATAGAATATAACCCTCCCAAATAGATGATCCTTAAAGCGCTGTTTTCTATT